TAACTTTTCCATGACATTTTAATTTATTGAGATGCACCTGTATATTTTATGCCCAAGGATGTCAGCAGATTTTTGCAACTGAATAGGCAAAATAACCACTTCTGTTATTCATCAGATAATATCCGTAATCAATAATAACTAATATATAAATTAGCATATTAATATGTTTTTTGAAGGGTCATGTTACACTGAAGACTGCAGTAATGGCTGCTGAAAATTCAGATTTGCATCACTGGAATACATTACATTTTAAAATATATTCAAATAGAAAACAGTTGTTTTAATATTTCACAATATTAATGTTTTTACTAAATTTTTGATCAAATAAACATATTGTTCAAAAAAAAAGAAAAAAGAAAAGTAATTTAAAATCTTATTGACCACAAATTTTTAAATGGTAGTATATATAATTACCGTATAATATATCATAAAATACTATATTATATATTTGTATTATGTAATGTAATGTATTATTTTATTAACATTTCTGGCTTTGTTTTTGTCTTTCGTTCACTCACTCACTCACTCGCACACACACACATATACACACATATATATATATATATGTATATACTGTATATATACACACACAATACACAACATTATGTAAATAATATTTACATAATGCTAATAATTGAAAATACAAATTTACATTTGAATTTAAATTGTAATTGATTTAGATTACATTGATTTAGAAATAACAACTTGCATGCAATTTGTCTCTCTTACAGTAAAGCTACTTATCACAGCGTCACACACGTCTGTTATCAATCCTATAAGCACATCATATGATCAGCTGCACCTGCTGTGCACAAGCTTTTATATTCCAGAGGGCATGTTTACTGTCTGCCTTTCATTTAGAATAATGTCTTTGACACGACATGCGCTTTGTTCATTAGAGACGTGTACACTGTGTTTTGTAGGAAGCGGAGCCACAGCAGTCGTCCAGGCAGCGCTTTGTTGCCCTCGACAGGAGCGTGTGGCCATCAAGAGAATCAACCTGGAGAAATGCCAGACCAGCATGGATGAGCTGTTGGTGAGGAACAACATAAAAACAGCTTTGTCTACTCATGCAGATTCTGCCATGCACATGCATATGCATGTAAACATGCACACATTACATGGAAATGCAATTAGTTACAGGGAAATTGCAATTTGCTTTTTTGAGCAGCCTGACTGGGCTGGGCAGACATTGGACAAACATCTTTTGGTTCCATTTTTCCCCATTCGTTTTCATCATACGCATTTAACAATAATCTTAAAGTAGTAGTTCACCCAAAAATGAAACATGAACCCAGGCCATACAAGATGTAGATGAGTTTGTTTCTTCATGGGAACAGATTT